GCGGACTACGGTAAGGTCCCCGTCTTGTGTGAGCCTGATTCCCAAATACAGCGCGCTTGTGTTTTGCCTGTAAAGGAGCGTGGGCCGTCTCCGTTGATGAAACTTGACTCCCATCCACATGCCACCCGGTCTTATTCCTTCGGGTTTACATTGGATATGGGGTGTGTGGATGGTGCTGTGGGTGGCGCAGCGCAAGCCATCCATGGTCCCTTTGTAGGCGGAGACACTGTAGCTGGTCAGAGTGACAAACAAACGCGAAACCGGATGCCGCTAACCATGTATGTACAGTCTAGCAAGTAGACATAAGGCCAACAAAAACCATGTAGATTAGCGTACAAGCGGAAGTCAGCGCGTCATAATCGTCGTGCAATAGTAGTTGAAGGTGAGCAGCAGACTGCAGCTACTTTACCGCAGGATGGAAGGAACATTTTGAAAAAAAGTAGAACAAAACATTTTAGTTTGCTTTTCACACGCTGATATTTCTTTTCCTTTTTGTCATTTGCAATGTTTGAAGTATTAAACATGTGAATCAATACAATTCTGTACACAAGTATTCCACTGATTCCGGTTACGGGCCATATCTTCAAGTGTCAAGCCATTGGCACTCCTTATCTTTGGGTCCCCATCCTGGAAGACGTACGGATCCAACAGCTTGCTAGACACGACTTCAGCGATTTCATGTGTTGCCACCAAGTGGAAGGCTAACCACCACGCGGTCGCTTCCAGCCAGGTCGTTGACGAGCGAATAGAGCGCGACGCGGTAGACGCTCAGGTGCCATGCGTAGGACGTGACCGAGCCATCTTAACTGGCGCAGCAAAACTAGTTTGTTGAAGGGAATACTCACTTTCCCGATATGCGACGTCGAAAGTCATTACTGTTAACTCAATGTTGCCACCAAACAGGAGCAGTCCTCCTTAAGCAACCGTTATCGAAGGCAGAAAGATGACGCATGTCTTCCGTAAGGCGAAATCATCAGCATAATCTAAGTCGGTGGCGCGCGCACCCGGTAGAAGCTCTAGGCCAAAATGTTGGAAAACTTCCAGAGCACTCGACAGAACGTCTTCGATTGCGAAGTTGAAGAGGAATGGATCTACGGCAGCCCTGTCGCACACCGTTATTGAGAGCGAATTGCGAGGAAAGCCGGATGTATGAAGCTAAAGTGCTCGTAAGATGGCGGTATATTTCTCTGACACCCCGTTCTTTAGCAAGCAACGCCATAAATCAGATTGATCAACGGAATCAAAAGCGGCACGTATGTCTAGGAATGCAACGATAGCGGGCCTGTGATAAATGTGGCGAGGTTCGAGGAACTGGAAAAGCGTGAAGATTTGATCCATGCATCCGCGGCCAGGACGGAAACCAGCTTGTTCCTCACGGTAGGATGATTCACGTATGGGGGATAGTCTATGGAGCAGAATGGATGCAAATAGCTTGGAGGCAACCGAAATGAGACTAATTCCGCGATGATTTACATATGAAGTGCGGGCACCTTTCTTGAAAATCGGGGCAATAACTCATTCGCCCCAAGAGGAAGGCACTTCCTCTTCATGCCAGGTTTTTGTGAACAGCGACGTCAGCTGGTTAGTGATCACCAAGCCGCCGTACTTGAACAGCTCCGGAGGAAGCCCATCTGAGTCGGCAGCCTTGAACCGCTTCAAGCGTCGAATCTCGAGGCAGACTTCCGCTTCGCTGGGTGGATGCAGTGGGATGAGCCAGGGTAGACAACAAGGTGTACTGCATGTACTGATTGACGGTGGAGGTCAGCTGAAGTGCGAGTGAAAGTGCTCGGCCCAGCGGTCCATAAGTCTCTGTTGGATAATGACCGGAGACTCATCCACCTCGCAAATGATCTCACTGATACTAGGCTTCCTGAAGCCAGTGGACCGAATGAGCTAGAAAAGCTTGCGAGTGTTGCCAGACGGTAGCGGTCTCCACCTCTAAATCACGCTCAGACCACCATGTCTTGAGATGCTTGCCCAGAATTTGCTTGAACAGCCGGTTGGCGCCGCTCGTTGCAAACTGATTCCGTCGGGATATCTTTGCGGCGTTCGAACAGCTCCAGAGAATGAGCAGAGAGCCAAACTATTAAGCGGCGTCGAGCTAGGCCGCAGCCTGACTGTCCGGAAATGGTCATTGCTTTCTGCATACAAGTCCAGTGTTGCTCCACGTCTTGCGGTGGATTGCAACTGAGTGCATAGGCCAGTGAAGACTGACAGCTCGCCTGGAAGGAGGAATCAGTTAAGCTGTTTACATCAAACTTGCGGACGCTCCAAAACATATGCAGATTTTCGCGCAGACCAGTGCATGATCTGAGTCAACGAAGGTGGACCAAAAGGACATGCAGTCTAGTACGCCGCCACGCCATCTGAAGCTAACTGCAATGTGATCAATTTGATAGCACGGTTGTGTTGGCGAAATGCTTCTTCGTACAACTGAAGTTAGTGCTCAAGAGAAATATGTTTGTCTTCGTACAATGTGAGAAACCTCTCGGTTATCAAAGCGGTTCTCATCGAGCGTGTGGTGACCATCAAGGTGGCGTTCATATGGTAACAGGCGGCCAACCTGTGTATTAAAATCCCCAGCAAGGACAACGACATCCGACATTTTGGCATTAGTCAAGAGCTGATGTAGATCCCTGTAGAAGTCGCCCTTGAGGGAGCCGCCGCTGCAGTCAGTTGGGGCGCACACGGAAATCACAAACAAGTTGCGTCGCGAGATGCTAGTTGATTCTACATTAACCCTGAAGCCGAACTGCACATAGTCGGCTGCTAACCGGGAACCAGTTCAGTAGTGCCGCCTCGACATTGCCCTTTAGTGCAATAGCTGCAACAGCAAAACCCACTGAGGCTGCCTCTGAATTACCAGAAAGACGCAGGTGATATCTGCCATCGTGGTCAGTAGAGGATGGCAATGTAAGCACAGTGCTGAGATCTTGCAATCGGGGTTCTGAAACGCAGCAGACATCAATATCGAGGAACTCTAGGATGCGAGCTAGACCGGCTTGCTAGCTAATCTGCATTAGAGTCCAAACCTTGAAGCACACCAGACGGAACGACGATCGGGGACGAAGGAGAGCCATAGGTTGAGCTCCGTGGTTCGCGGCGAAACCGCAATGGCAGCCGGATTGTTAAACACGTGAATCTGGTAAGGGAAAATAAGGATTGTCAGCAAACAAACAAGTAGCGTGTGATGAAGTCGCGGGAATGTGGGAAGCTAGTGCAAGTTCAGGTGGGACTGGGACGATAGGATGAATCCCGTAAGTGTTCCTTCTTGAGCAGGTCGTCGATCCAGGAGTTGATAGGGTGCTC